AATGTAGTCGAAGTTGCTTCCCGCGGCCGCTGGGTGCAGGTTGTTCCGCATGCAAATTGAAGCTGTGCGCGGTGCTTCGCGCCGCGGACTATTCTTATCTAACTCCAGAACGGTAAGTTGGACCACAGGTTAATTGATGTAGACGACCTCCTAACCACCATTTCAATTTTTCGGGAAATTCAAGAAACCTGCTGTTTGACAATCGGGTTTTTCCGCAATAAGTTAAATGCTAATAGAGATTAGGAAAATCTATAGATATAAATCAACAACAGTTCTAAATATAGTAAAATAAAAGTGCATTTAGCATTTATTAAAGTATATTCCACTGCATGTCCTAATTTCCCACCCATAAAACCCTATAACCACCGTTTTCGTAGGAAAACATGCAGATTGTAGGGATTAATGATTTGGGCTACATAAGTTACTGTTGCCGGCAAGTGTATGCATGTGTATGATTTCCGCACAATCCACATTTATAAATCGTTCAGAAAAATGCATACTACTTAAATAATCGTTTTGTAAAGTGCTGCTTTTTTATTCAAGCGGCGAGAAAGAGTCATTTAAAAAGCCGGTATGCTGGCGTGAATGCAATATCTTGCTGTAAAACGGCACGAATACACCAATATTACCACTAGACTTCAGTACTTGTTTTTGAATCAAAAGCGCATTTCAGACAGTCGGTTGACATTTTATGAGATAGAAAATCTATCACACATCGCTCTGATCACTCTGTTCTGCTCAAACATGCAAGAATCTGCGGAGCGTTGGTTTTTTCACGTCCCAGCACCTGACGCCTGGATGACTGCGCATAGGAAAGGTCCTACAGTCCTCCTCTGGCGCTCCTCCTTGAAGCCTGCTCTATTTACTTGTGCTAACTTTTTTCTTCCTCTCTTCAGGGTTGCACTCCGTTGCGGATATCTACTGTGAATGCTGCCGCACTGTCCTTGGCTGGAAGTACGAGCAGGCTTTTGAACCGAGTCAAAAGTACAAGGAGGGCAAGTACATCATTGAACTGGCGCATCTGATCAAAGACAATGGGTGGGACTGGTCAGTCTGCGAGTCTGAGCAGCGCAGGTTCTTGTGACGTCATTTAAGCCTCGGCCGACGAGGCTTCTTCCACAATGCTCTCCCCCCTGTCCCGGCCCCACCTCCACCCTCCCACCTCCTCACTTCATCCTCGCAGTCCGTTCCACGTTCCAGTGATAACCAGCTGATGGCTTGTACATTGTCTGATCTTTTATGCTTCGTCTTTTTTTTCCTTCCAGCGATTCTTTTCTGCTCATTTATTTTGTACATGAGATAACGATGCTGATGATGACGTAGTTCGCATTTCGCTCTTATCTTGCAAAGTGTACTGTCATGTCGATCTTATTGTGTTTTTTTTAATGCTTTACGCTGTGTACATACCTTTTGTTTTCCCGAGCGGGGCACCCTCGCTGCGCGCACTCTCTCACCATCACTACCGCCGTTGTTTCTTCCTGTCTGTATTTGGTCCCTTTGACGAAGTAATGCATTATTACACACACAGACACGCACAGGCTTTTGAACAGTTTGGAACTACTGCAAAAACGCTTTTCTCGACCCCGGCGACATAATGTGTGTGCTCGACCTTTCTGCCAGGCCTCAAGTGAGCGGGTTAACTGTCTACCGGTTCACGCTCTCTTTGGTTTTTGCATTATCTGGATGACACATTCTTTTGTTTGCATCATTTCCTGTTTATCGTCACGCAAAGCGCTGTGTGTGTGCTGGGCTCGCTTTAATATATATGCTTGTCTTTTTAAGGACGCTCTCATACACGCAGTCTCTTTCAACGGTCTTCCTCAGGGGGCATCTGTACTTCAAGACATTTAGGTATTCTATAATTTACAAGCTTTCGGATGCATTAGGGGTAATGTGTTAAGCTAATGAATTTCACTTTCACAGTCTTAGGGGAAAAATCTCAGCTAAGCCAGATAATATGGCAGTGGAGGTGCCCTGTTTAATGCCGATGCGGTACTCAGAAAGTATGGGGATCGCCGAGTTCGTTTTGACCTTGGGAGTCTAGGCTTTTTGGTTTGAAAAATAAAGTAGCATAGAAGCTGTTGTAGGGCCTATGCACTGGGCACCATCAGGGCAGACCTCGGGTGTTGGAAAAGACAGAGGGATTTATTGTGCACAAACTTCGAGGCGGTAGTGGCCA